CACCCGGGATTCACAGCAATCCGGGACAAGCTCACCCGGGATTCACAGCAATCCGGGACAAGCTCACCCGGGATTCACAGCAATCCGGGACAAGCTCACCCGGGATTCACAGCAATCCGGGACAAGCTCACCCGGGATTCACAGCAATCCGGGACAAGCTCACCTGAGATTCACAACAATCCAGAACAAACTCACCCGGGATTCGCAGCAATCTGGAACAGGCTTACCCAAGATTCGCACCAGTCTATGGCGATTATCGTCCTACCCTGATGAGAATGACTGGCACTAGCCAAAGGTCAATATTTCTTACTGTACAATTGCAATCCCCCCACCACATGCTGAGAAAAGCTGCAAACTACATGCTGTGCATTCAACCCTCCCCCCAATCCCATCCCCCATCTTTGAATAGCCACCTCATAAACAGCTTCATCCTGTCATCAGCAACACAGTGTTTCGGCAGAAAGATAAAAAGAGTGGGTTAAAAACAAGAAGGTCAGATAACACACAAGAGTGTACATGGTTTCTTGCTTCTAGATTTCCTATATAATGTGTCTTCATGTGTCTCACTGACTTTGGAACCTGGCAGAGGGATCACTGTCACCAACTGAACCTTGTAGCTCTGTGTCTTCCCTGGCAACCTTACCACTAAACATGACATCACAGTCGAGCTTGGTTCATCAACACTAGTCATCATGCTAGTACCCCGGTGAGATGATAGATGACTGGCTATTCTTTGCTACCTCTCAGTCTTGCAGATTTATTTGTATAAAACCAGGAAGATCAGACCTTATCTCTCAGAATATGCAGCTCAACTCCTTGTCCAAGCACTTGTCATCTTATGACTTTATTATATGACAGGTGCATAGCTAGTAATTCTGGTCCTCTACCAGAATGTCACCTTGGGTCCCTGGCTCAATAAAAATGATAATTTTATGTATTCAAGGGCCCCTGTGAAGTGCAGGGCCCTCTGAATCTGCTAGGGCATCCATGCCCCAACTGTACCCCTATGGGTGTCAGAATGTGCTGTGAAACCACAGCAGGTGCTTAAAAATTCAGCAGCGCCTCTGGTATTCAGTCAGGCACAGTGCTACTTAGCCTACTTAGAGCAGGTGTGAAGTGAAACTACCCGGGAGGATAAACCTCCTCAGACTGAAGAAGCTGCTTGGATGGGCAGTGAGACGTTTCTGCCTTTCAAGAGAGAAGCCCAGTTGCCATGACTGAACCACCAGACAGTTTCACCTGGATGACTGAGAATCTTCACAGACATATTTCTACTATATTCTCTACTGGACTCTTCAATCAGTGTTTTGTACAGCTCTTATTCCAAAGCTCTTGCACTTGTTACTGGTCATTCATTGGAGGCTCAGCCTAACAACAATTGTGCCTATGTCGACTCCTTAGAGTTGACATCTTCTCTGGCTCAATTTGTGTCGCCATGAAATGGGAATGACATGAATGTAAATATTCTAATATAGAAAACAATCTATCAGTGTGTGTGTGTGTGTGTGTGTGTGTATATATATATATATATATATATATATATATATATCACTCTAAAATCTTGTGGTCAAACTGCGCCACCTGGTGGTTGAATGAGTAAATTGGTAGGTACGGCTTCCACACTCACCGGGTTAACCATGCCAGTGGACGCTGCCACATTCTCCACTCCCTCCATTGTTTTCTGGGATACGTCATTGACTCCTGCGGCCGCCGTGTCTCCCACTATGTTAGCCTGCTCATTGGCCCTGTTAGCCACTGTGACAAAAGGGCAAGGTTGATTTTTACAATTCAATTCTTGACATTTTTACCCATTTATATTACTTACATTACTTATAGAGACAACTCACTGCATTGTATCAATGTAGCAACAATACTGTAATCCAATTCACCTTGACTGTACAAAATGTCTTCTAACCATAAGTTTTCTTAATTGTCCTTGAATGCTTCTCATGTGTATTGTCAGAAATGCTTCTATCTGTTTTTTATGCTACTGTTATTTTCTGCCTGTGAGTTGACACAAAAAAAATCTTTGTAGATATACAATGATAAAGACTTATCCTAACTTGTAAGCTGGTTTAGTTTGTTTGCTTAGTAATGGTTATTGGCTGCTGTATTTACAGTTGTGTTAAGGTAGCTTAACAGTGACTTAGTACATTGTTTAACACATTGTGCTGGATGTGCTTACTTGAATTTACACTTGATACCACTCCTTCCTTTGTCTTCGATCCTACAACAGAGTAAAAACAGAAAAGGCATAAGTAGGATCTAACTTTTTGGTATATTGGTATAGCACCAAGGAGGGGGGGGACTTCTTCACTCAGTCAAAGGCCAGAGTCTTAAATGACACATAGATCAGGCCCCGTAACTAAAGACTGAGAAATGACATCATACCATACCACAAGGTGCATTGTGCCAGTCAAAAATGCAGAAAGTACCATAAAACCTTTGAGATTACCAGGAGTGTGTGTGGTGTTGCCTCAGCACCATGCAGTAATAAGCATGAATATTTGAGCAGGTCTTTCGTTAATGATGGAAAGGTCAGCTGACATCGACTAGCTAGTTATCTGTGAATCCATGTATCAATGCAAGCTGGCTGGGAGTGAGGGAGGCAGGTTTCAGGAGAGATTTCTGCATTTTTTCCATCTGCAAAAAATCAGTGGAATTCAAATAGCTTTGAAGCTATGTGACAGAACGGCAGATTTCTAAAATTAAATTTACAGATTTACTGTCATTTTACTTATGGTTCAATGTTTTAAAACTGGCTGTTTTCTGTAATGTTATCAGAAAGAGACACAACAATTCTACATTGTTCCATCATTGCATTTGTGACATCCCACTGTATGGGAGGTGGACCCCCACCTCAGCCTGGGTAACACGGGCCTCCTTTTCTGCCCCAGGAAACACCCATGTCCATCTGCAGTAACTAACAGGCCCATAATGATCATCCCACACCTGCCAGCTCCAGCACTGTAATTATATCATTATCTCATATTCCTGCTGCTGGCCTCATTCACCATCACGTGGTAAAGAATAATCACTGACCTGATATGACATCTGAGTGCGCGTTTGTGGTATCTGCCAGTTAATGCGCCTACAGAAACACCAGCAAGTCGTCAGACAAAGGGCAGATAATTGCCTTTCACTTAAGTTTGTTTTAGACACAGATATAACATTGACATTCGGCTAACAATGTTTGTGAGGTTCATCATTCACTCTGAATAGCAGAGACTGAAAGTGTCGTTTAATCTGTCTAATTATGTATTCGCCTTTTGCACACACAGCTAAACAAACTGTTGTTTTGACTGGTTAGTTCAGTGTTTCCAAACCTGGTTCTTGGGGACCCACCGACAGTCCACGTTTTTGCTCCTTCCCAGCTCCCTGCCAAACAGTACACATTTTTGCTTCCTTCCAAAAACAAAAACACGGACTGTCTGCGAGGTCTGACTGGAACTGAACTGGTTGTGGCATTGCAAAATGGAGAACAGGACCTGTCCATCCGTCCCAGCGTCAGGAGACGCAGAGACCTAGCCGAGCACACTGTGTGTGGTTCTGACCCAGCCGTGCTGCATTCAGCGAGTGCGTGTGCAGGTCTGTGTTTCTGTAGGGTTATATCTCTCCCTACACCTCTGGAGCGAGTTGTATTCCCATGGGAGCTGCAGAAGAGGACTCGGAGCAGAGGGATTGGAAGGGGATGCAGGCAGGATGAACCCTGTCTCCAGGAGGGAGAACGCAGACTCATAATGTAACTCCCTTTTTGCTTATCTCCGGTTTTACTGAGACTGCCCTACCCCCAATAATCAAAATTCAGTTAAATTATGCAAGTGGCTAGAATGGGATGGAGGGAATTGGAAAAGGGAGAGAGAAGAAAGCAGCAAGAGAGAGAGAGAGACCACGGACCTGATCTGCAGGTTTTGCCTCCGAAAAATGGCTGTTTTGTGATGGCTGACCTCATTCCTCGTAACCAGTGAGCTACATCTATGCACGCAAGTGTCATGCGTGACGTTATTCTGCCGGAGAGCAAAACACGACCCCCCCCCCCCCCAATTCTCATGGCACAGCGCTTTGCGGCATCCAAGCCCCACCCCCTCACAGAGGTGACCCTGACGTCACCTTGAGACTCCGGTCTGGAGTCATTACATTAACATTAAATTCACCAACAGGGACATATTACTAATTAAGATTAAATAATTTTATGTATCATTATGTTTCATGATGATCTCCTTAGGGCTGTAATTCAGTGTAATGTTTAGCTGTAATTCTGACTACCCAGCATCCTTTGCATTTCTCATGCCGTTTTTCCTGTCCTGATGAGCAGGGATGTAAAGGGACGGAGGCGGTGGCTCCTGGGCCTTGGTCTGGGCTGCGAGACTCTACTGACAACTGCTTAGCCTCCCCCAGCCCCTGCCCCCCCAGCAGAGATACAGCTGCCATTCCAGGCTGCAGATAATAACACAACCTGAGCCCTGGTCGTCACATGGCTCCATCACTTGTGCGGTTTGCCTCCCCCTGCCCCACCCCCACCCATAGGTGATGGGCGGGGGGGTCACCTCCTGAGACAGCTTTGAAGTAGAAGCGGTACATTCTGCGATGAAATGTTACAATACAACAAAAAAAAAAGTATTACCCAGTATTAATTGAATTTCTGGAGGACAAGCTGCAGCTGGGCTCACTGGAAAACTGAGCCACTATCCTTCCCCATCTATCTCATCTTCTCCCTCACGTCTCGCTCTCTCTCCTTCTCTTTTTCAGAAAGACCGTAAAGCCACAGTCACAGCCATGAGCTGATAAAACACAAAAGCTTCATGGGTGTGTCCACCAGGGGGCAGTGTCAGTCTTCTGATGAGGGGATCCTGCCGCAGTGACGCACTGGTGTGTGTGCGAGTGTGTGTGTGTCGTGCTGCGTTTCTGAGCTCGGACTCTGTGTCCCCCGGCGGGGTGCACTGGGGCGGAAAACAGGATGTTACCAGCATGCGATGCAGGAGCCAAGTCAGGAGCGTGAAGCACCCAGCTAGCGATGTTCCTCGATCCCTCACTGCAGTGCAGCACAGCCCATCCTGCCCTGGCCCTGCACAACATCCCTAAACCCTGAGCTCTGATCTCAGAGCAGTTCTTCCTGCACTGTAAAGCCAAGCGTTGGACGGGAGCTTTGCAGGATGATAATACACCTGATACTGGTATAAACACAGGAGCCTGACACACTGCGTCCTGGGTCATGTGACTGCACCTTCCAAAAATACCCAGCACCCCTCTTCTTCCTTTTTCCTCAGTCCTACTTCTCGCACCTGCTGGAGACCCACATACCAGACCCATTAATACGCGAGGGGGGGCTGCGAGGGGGGGTGGGGGAGGACCTGCTTTTTTCCTGATGGAAAGATTATTGTCGAGGTGACCACATCACTGTCCTGCACTGCTGGCAGACATCAGCACCTCTCCTCGACCTTTCGACCCCCCCCCCACTCTGTTGACTGCTCCTTACCTACGTAGAGGACCCCCTCTTTGGTCTTGGCAGCTGCCTCCTCCACTCCCGCCTTGGTCTTCTCCGCGGCAGCCACAACACCTTCCTTGACCGTGGAGAATCCCTTCATCAGTACATCCATCCTGGACGGAGGAGAGCGGTGCTGGTCCCACGAGTAGCTGGTGAAACTGTGGAGGCAAAAGGCTGGAGGCAGAGGCGGCGGGACGAGGAGTCACTGTCTGAGTCTGAGTGTCACCGCGAGTCTGTGCTGGTGCGTTTGCCTGCACGGGTCTGCTGCTGCTGCAGCTCCGTGCGAGAGAGGGGGGGGGGGGAGAGAGCGAGCGAGCGAGAGAGAGAGAACAGCTGACAGCCTGGTGTACCTCTCCACCAGGATGTCGAGGAGTGAGCAAATGGGTAAGCAACAAGGGGAGGAGAGAGAGAAAGGGAGTGAGAGAGAGGGATGAGGAGACGGGATGCAGAGATGCTGGGAGCATGCTGAGTATTTAAATCAGACTGCAGCCCCCCCCCTCCCCCCACTACAGAGACACACAGAGGGCGCAGAAACACAGCCCTGCAGCGTGGCGCTGGCTGGCTGCACGTGAAGCGCATAGGATCCTGGCGGGAGCCCCCCCCCTCCCCCCACCCGCTGTACTCCGGCTCTGGGTGTGGTATGAGGGCGTCCCGATCAGCTTTTTAAGGCGGCAAAGCATCTCAGCTCGTGTTCTGACATCAGTTAGGTAAAAAAAAAAAAACAACAGAAATGAGCCAAAATCTGGCTCCGGAAGCTGCGGACTGTGCGTGGTCGTGCCGGCGTCCCGGCCAGCTGTGAGCTTCATTTGCAAAAGCACCGCAGAGCTATAAGGATGGCTTTTCTCACAGCAGGAGAAAGGAAAGGCGTGAGAAGAGAACTGCATCTTCTGCAAAAACCTTCAGTTAAAATGGAGGCGCCACCATCCACTGTTTTATTATAGACATAAAGAAGGAGCTGCTCTGTAAATAAAGGGAACAATTTGAGAATCTTTATGTCTGCTAGGCACTGGCGGCTTCAGATGCCGTTTAGGTGGAACACCCTCCACACACGCCAGACGGTCCTGATGCCGGCAGGGAGAGCTGGCGCTGCAGCCCGCGTCACCTCATCACCCGTCAGATTTGCTCTTTCCTCCTCTGCACACCATTGTGGGTGGTGGAGGGCGTGACCCCAAGACCAACCGATGTTTCAGGTTCCCTGAAGGGAGACTGGCTGTGGTGTCCCTGGTGAAGGCACTCAGAGAGTAAGTGTGACGCAGGAACGTGCCTGATTTCAGATGAGGACCCCCAATCAGCAGGCAGGATTCCCACTTTGTGAAGGCAGCTTAGAGGACAGCTGAGTCATCGTCCAGGTTCCATAACCAGGTCCAAGTTTCCCGTGTTCCTCACATTCCTAACTCAGCATTTAATCCCCATCTGCTGTGCCCCCACCCCCTGCACCAGCCCCCACTGCCCTTCCCACGTGGCCCCTGATTGGCCAGGTTTCTCATTTGCAGCCGGCGGTAGCTTCCTTCACCTGAGGCGGCTCATCGATCGCCCTCCCCCTGAGGGGCCCATGAATCAGGGCACTGGAGAGTGGTGCTGGTGGCCGGGGTGGGGGCGTCCCTAACACGCACACTGCAGAGCCTGGCGACATCCGACTGTGAAAGACACAATTCTCCCTGCAGCTCCATGCTGAAATATGTTAGAAACAGGAGGTTCAGCTGCTACACAGTGAAGGAGTACCCCCCCCCCCTCCATGCAGGAAGTCCAACCTTCCCCCACACTGGAGAGTTTTACGCCCCCTCATCACTATAAATTCCCTTCCAGGACACGCTCTTTAATTACTGCATAAAACATTGAGCGTTACAGACACAGATGAAACCTTTCAATAAGATCTGTGTCACTGATATTGCCCACTTGTACTCCCCCCCCCCGAGGGGGGAGCCATAAAGAGCAAGTGAGGAAGCGCTTTCAGTGCTCAAGGTCACAGGGGGTATGGTGCCACCCAGGGGGATTATCACACCTAAATAAGAAGGCACAAGAGGGTGTGTTTGCAACAACACAATTATTCCCTGTCTTGGTGGATGGAAGCAGATTGTCCATTGGTTGAAGCTTATGGAGCCCTTATTCGCCTTTTGTTTGTTTATTTTAATTCTCCTGCCAAGCCCATCAGTAAAACCCGATTGTGACGATGCACCACATTCATTCAGATTTTCATTCAGATCGATTAAAGTGTCATTTTAAATCAGACAGAGCGAACAGCGGCAGAGCGGCCGCTCTTTCAGCTGAGGGCTCCTTCGCGGTTCACCGGACACGAATGTGTGGAACAAACCCATCGCAGCACTGCACTACAGGTCACTTCAGATTGTGAAAATGCGAGAGAAGCCCCCTCCCCCCATCGCAGCACTGCACTACAGGTCACTTCAGATTGTGAAAATGCGAGAGAAGCCCCCTCCCCCCATCGCAGCACTGCACTACAGGTCACATCAGATTGTGAAAATGCGAGAGAAGCCCCCTCCCCCCCCCACATCTTCATGCTGAAAGGGCCCCAGTCGCTAAGCAAGGAAGGACCAGCCTTGGGAATGCAGGGGGGGGGCCTTGGGATCAAGGATGAAGCTGCTATAAATACCACCCCCCCTCCCCCACCACCACACCTGCCCCCATCTGTGTCCAACGCTTTTCGTAGCATGATTCTGGTCTGCAGTACTGATCTCAAGCTGACCGATCTGTGCTGAAGGAAGAAGCCCATTGGCAGGAGCTTTGCTAGTCACAGCCTTGTCCCGCCTCCATTATTACAGACACACAGGTGATTGGGTGAATATTTGCATCTTCCCCGCTCTCCTAAAGGGCCAAAAGCGAGACAGCGGCAGGCAGATGAGGCGGAATGATGATCTCTAGCTGCTGTTGGGTGGGGGTCGGGGGTCTTTACCTTAATGCTGTTTGTTCCCAGGCTGATGAAAACACCGCCGGCACATTTCAGACCCACGACAGGCAGCGCTGCAGAAGCCAGGAGTCGCTCGGACGAAACAGGCCAAAGGACTCAGCAGCTTACAAGATCCAGGTATAAATTTAGATCTGAAGCAAGCAGCCAGCATTTGCATGTATAGATAATTACACTCTTCTTCCTAGCTGCAGTCAAATTGATGATTTTATAAAATTCTTCAATAAACACGGAGGTCAACAGAGTGCACAGCACCCTGAGTTAACCCCCTGCATAGTCTTTTCCAGTGATTTTGGTGCCCCCCCCCCCCCTCCCAGAGACCCATTTACCTCCCAGCATGATTGGTGCAACCTTATCTGAAGGTTACTCCTCTATTCTGCAAACAAACAAACCCACGTCACGTCGGGATCCTATTTCACACGGCTCAGCTCCGCAATGGGATACGCTCGTCTCAATGCACACAGCTTTTTGCTGGCACTGATCCCAGAGTCAGGGGCGGCGTGTGGCAGGAATCTGTGCCATGGTTCAGAAGGTTGCCAGTTCAAATCCCAGGGCTTGGCTGAGTTCTTCTATAAAAGTACAAATCTTCAGGACAGATGTTTTTGTTTTGATACAGTGTCACGTTTCAAACTGCAACGGTCCAACAGGGGGCAGTCATGCCTATAGTAATGCAAAGGCAGGCCCATGACAGATAGCCTTACAGGAGAGTAGCCTGCGTATAAAAAAACCCAGTGATAGATACTCACTCTGCAGACACCTCCACCCAGGGCAACTGAAATAAGTAAACAGATATTGTACATTAAAGATGGAGATCAGAGTAAACATGCATAGACTATTCCTCTGCTCAGGTCCAAACCTGCAACCACTGAGCAACCTGCCAAACCACAGCTACCGAAGAAAGGAATAAATCTGGATCGCGCAAGCAAAAGCCATAGCAGCGTGTGTCTGCACAGAGCCCAGTACCCATAATCCCCAGGGTCACATCGCTCCTGTCACACGACGGCCTTATCGGTGGCTAGTGTCTGCAATTTGGCACAGATCAGCCTTACGGTCTTTCATAACTAATGTAAGAACAAAAACGCAGATCATCCGCTGCCAGCCAAGTGAATAAGCCCTTTGAGATCACATTATGGATAACATTAGCTGGATAACATTATGGATAACATTAGCTGGATAACATTATGGATAACATTAGCTGGATAACATTATGGATAACATTAGCTGGATAACATTATGGATAACATTAGCTGGATAACATTAGCTGGATAACATTATGGATAACATTAGCTGGATAACATTAGCTGGATAACATTATGGATATCATTAGCTGGATAACATTAGCTGGATAACATTATGGATATCATTAGCTGGATAACATTAGCTGGATAACATTATGGATAACATTAGCTGGATAACATTATGGATGACAGAACATCTGTCCTGTTCACAAAAAGGAGTGGAGGACCACATTTGGGTACTTAAATACTGAAGAAATATTTTTAGAAATATTTTGGCTTGTTGTACTCATCTGTATATATGATGGAAAATTAACACATTTGGGCCAAATTCAATTTTTTATAGTACCAGCTAAGGCTGCTGGATGGTACTTAGTCACTGGGGTTTAACTACAAATCCAAAAATGTAAGTGCACATAAAGACGTGCCTTTGAATGTTTCTCCAGTCACCATGTCTCTAATCGGCGGTGGGACATTTTGTCATCGGCCAGCTGCGTTTTTGTGACCATGAAAAAAGAAGTCTTGGTATCTTGAGTGTAATTATGGCTCCACCTGCTGGCCACAGAATGAACCTGACATCAGCACTCAGAGTCCACATGCCTAAGGATGGAAGGATCTGGATAGTACTGCTGTGGTTCTGCAGCCGTAGACCGCGGAGAAGCACGCAGCCGACACAGGACCTATGATGTCAGAACAAGCGGCTCCATTAGAGAATTACAGTCTTACATTAAGCACGGGGGCTTAACGGGTGCCTATAAAATATACTGAGATTAAAGAGCACAAGAACGGACACATTAAATGCATCAAGTAATATAGCTACTAAAGTTCAGCACTAAGGAAACGTAACAGAAAGGATCTTATGTTAACATGGCTAATTTCTGTACTGCTCTATATTTTGTCTGAATAAAAATTGCCCAGACTACTTACGGTAAGATGTTTAAATGTCCATAAATATAACATGAACTGACATTATAATATGCCTAAATATGTGAGCCCTGCATGTAGTTACACAACGATTCTACGCCAGTGTAATATCATCTCGAGCTGCTTACTAATTCAGGAGTCCTTTTAGGAAAACATGGATGCATAGCCTGAAGGAGTGGGGGAGAAACCAGGGCGCTTTGAGTTAGGGGGGCGGAGACTGTGGATTCTGAATTGGCCTCTTCCTGTGTTCTCATGCAAGCAGCCAACACGGAGAATCCAAATCCACAAACACCAGCGACCAAACAGCCTCTGTGGGTAAGATTCCTTCAGCGGTGAGAATGAAGGTTTGGTCACATCCTGTTTACTTGGGTGACGCAGGATGCGGCAAAGGAGCCGGACTCATGACTCATGAAACAGCCACCTGCAGGTGGTCCAGGTGTCACAGAAGGTTCCAGAAGCCGCAGGTGGCATTACCAAGCAGCTCAAAACCTGCTTAGCTGGTACCCAACCTACTGCCCGGTCCACAGTCAGACTCTGCTTAAAGGTCCCTTACATCGCCAATCTCATGATTATTATTTAATGTTTCTTAATATATTGTTTTCTTGACTACGACTGTGTTAGTGACAAATGAAACTTTGAATCATCACAGGGATGAGCAGGCCAACATTGACATGCTCTCTGAGAAATACGTGCATATGATAGAGGTGCCATGCTGACTCAGTGATCATAATCCAAGACGGTGTCACTGCAGTCTGCTTCTGCAGGGGGTTACATTTATATATGCTGATTTTGTCCCCTGTGTTTCAACTCAAATTTCCTCTAGAGCCGAGACGATGACCCCATTGTATGTAGTGTTTCATTATATATACCTGTTTACTGTTATTTTTATTTACATTCTTGTGACTTCACCGACAAACCACGGCGAATTCTGATTGCGATCATTTCTCAACCACAGGGTTTGCGACGTCGCCAGCTTTGGTTATCTGGCTGGAGTGAGACTTCTGAGATTCTAGACGAGCCTGCTCACACATGCACATACTTGTATGTAACAGTAGATATAGATTTTCCATAAGATTTCTTGCGTGTGTGTGTGAAAGCGCGAGCATCACGCCAGCGGCCTGAGAGTCGGCATCCCTGGATTAGCATGATCAGGGCATGTAGCTGAGCTGCAGCAGGCTCAGCCACACATGCGTCATACGGACGGTGTCCCTGGTCTCTGCACGACTGACCAGATCCAGTGCGGCGGCGCGGTGCGGATGTTTGCATCTAACCCTCAAACAGCCATAATTAACCTGCTTAACATTCCAGTATATAATAAAAACGGCGTACCTCCCCACTCCATGTACATGACAAACGTCACTGCTCAGTCACCTGAGATTCTGGAAATACTGCTCGGGAACTAATAAAATCTCCTCTCTGCTCCTACTTATGTTTACGCAGTTCTTTTGCTCCTGTACATACACGGGGGCTCTGGCTTTTGGAGAAGACACACCCTGGCTGAGACAGGAAGTGATGTAATGGGGGCGCCATTGCCAGATGTGGCAGGAAACCGTGAACTCAACACGGCTATTTCAATCAAAAAGGGCAGGGGGTCGATGTTCGGTATGACCAGACCATGGTGATGAGTTTTAGGGGAGACCACACAGAGGTAATAAAATGGTCAACAGGTTAAACTGCCACACGTGCTGGAGCAGGCAGCCTACTTAGGGTCTAAACAAACATCCAGCCAGGCCTCTTCCAAAAGCTACCCTGGTCAGTGTCGTGGAGGCCCAGGGTACGCCCAGCAGGGTACCAGATCCAAATGGACATTGGCACAAAATGCCTTTCTGGATCTGACAAAATTTAATCCAGCCCAGAGAACATGTGAGCAAGATAAAATCAATGTCCCCCCCTAAGCCACAAGCCAACCCAGAGCCTCCAGAAAGGAAAACATTCCTGGAATCACAACTCAATTCCTCGGAATTGATTCAAATAAACAGCAGGCAGATCCACATCAGCCAAGGTGGCGATGCATCAGATTATCCAGGAAGCACCGGGGGTAGCTGGTGAGGCCAACTCATTGTAGGTTCTAATCTCAGGAGAGGTAGCTGGTGAGGCCATCTCGTTGTAAGTTCTAATCTCAGGAGAGGTAGCTGGTTAGGTCATCTCGTTGTAGGTTCCAATCTCAGGAGGGGTAGCCGGTGAGGCCATCTCATTGTAGGTTCCAATCTCAGGAGGTGTAGCTGGTGAGGCCATCTCGTTGTAGGTTCCAATCTCAGGAGGGGTAGCCAGTGAGGCCATCTCATTGTAGGTTCCAATCTCAGGAGGGGATTAGCTGATGCCAAACTTAACTAGCAAACTGCCACAACTTTGCCACACCATTAAAAGCTGAAGGTTGTCATCCTGCTGAGGAACCAAGAACACAGCACACGTTGTGTACTAAAATAAGATGATTTAATTGATAAATCAATACATTGGACATAATCTGAGTACAGAACAACTTTCCATGGTAAACATAAGGCACCTATTAAAAAAAATTAGATTCTGTACAAAATACAAGTTATATTTAGAAGATATTCTATAAGGTTTTCCGCCCATGATACACAGAAACGAGTACTGCTTTGTCGTACCCAAACTCATAAAGTCAAAGTATTGACCCGATGCTACGCTACATGACTTTACACACAATAACCTTAGTGCTGTGTGGTTTCCAGCAATGTGATGTGGATTTAGAGCGAAGTCTCATTTTTCTCCTGTGAGGTATCGAAGCCAGCTGAGCATAATTTTACATTTTTGCATGAAAGATGAAGCCAGAAGGACTGCAGGCTGGAAGCGCGAACGCTTTCGGACGGGGAAAGACGACGACAGAACTGGCAGACAGAAAACCCCCGACATGATTTGTCCACATTTCATGGTTTCATGCATCTGCGTAAATAAAATAATTTGGCATGACGTCTGACTGCAGGAGGTGGTGGTGTCAGGTGAGAGGGATCCACTTCAGGTTCTAACCATCAGAGGGATCCACTTCAGGTTCTAACCATCAGAGGGATCCNAACCATCAGAGGGATCCACTTCAGGTTCTAACCATCAGAGGGATCCACTTCAGGTTCTAACCATCAGAGGGATCCGCTTCAGGTTCTAACCATCATTTAATCCATAGAGGCCATCAACGGAGCATTAACCAGTACCCTCGGGGGTGCACATATGCATAGCACTGGGCCCACGGGGGGAGGGGGGGCGTATTTGCACAGGAATGCCCTATTATTAGGCACTATATTCACAACGGAGGGGAAACAGCCTGTTACCGGTTCACAAACGACCATCGTGGCAGGATTCTAATTAGTGCTGACGTTTTGGACGCCTCGTCGGCAAGGCGCTGAGGAGTGAGCCGGCACTTTTGCTGGAGGTAAAATCACAGAAGTAAAGAGAAATGCACATGGATCTTGGGTTCAAGACAGAATGCTTCACCCACAGATATGCCTGAACGACACCTCAAGTGAACAGCTTCAAACCTACAGTATTTACAGAGCTTATCTGGACAGAATGTCAAATAAATAAGTAGCAGTTATACAGCTGTACTATATTGCACGCTTGCATGGTTAATTTTCATGCCTGTATCTGTTGCTGTATATCCAAACTTTCTTCGCTCTCTTTTTTTAAAAATATATACAGACATGCAGATTCTCAAACATTTAAAAATAATTACAGGGTTAGAACGGGTGATGCCGAGTCAGATCAGGTTTTTTTCCCCCAGACACAGATGATCCATCTCTCTCTGGTAGGACCAAATCCCACTGACTAGAAACTAATTTTGAAGAGGTTGCTGGAAATATTTTTTTTAAAAGCAGTTATGTGACAATAAAAGTGTTTCTACATGTTAACAATACAGACAGAAAAAGACTAACAGTTTCATGAAAACTATCCCATTAAATCTTTCTGCACATTATAAAAATAAAGAAAATGACCACGTATAGAGATTATAAACATGACTGAGCGACTATCGTTAAACCCTCCCCCCCCAACGTCTTTTTGAGGCTGTTTATGTACGACTGACAAGGGCAACTTAAAAAAAAATATATATATACTAAATTAACTTATGGAAGATTCATTTTTAAATACTCTGAAGTCAAATATTTCCCCAAAACAACCTTTTTTTTTTTTTTTTTTTTTTTTAACTTTAATAGGGGACAACAGACATTTTAAATTCAATCACCACCCCCCTCCCCCGACCGAGGGGGTGTAGGAGTCAGACAGCTTCACCCCACAGATCTCCGGACCAGCACGGTGAGGCGAGTGACCCGTGTGTCCCATAGTACCGCAAGGCTGGCTGGCCCACAGCTTTCACAGAAAGCAGCAGCGGCGGCGACCTCAAGCAGCACAGCAGGACGAAACGCTTGAAGGGCTCCACTGTCCTGGCCGACGGCGTCCGGCTCTGGATGAGTCCTTTCCCAAGAGGCACAAAGATCGGCGCCACTGCCCGTATTGTCCAGCAGGTGGCGCTTGCAGCCTGCATCGTTGCCTTCTCCAGGAAAGGGGAGGGACTTCTGGCTCTGGGAACTGACGCCTCTTCCCTGTCTACACAATTCACCGCCGATCCCTCCTCCCTCTGCCGCCATGTGAAGCTGTAGTTTGTAATTGTAACATGAGGAGGGAAGGAAAAAAAAAGGAAGAGTTTTTCCAGGCCGCAGCCGGGGAGAGAGCGTCAGCTCAGATCTTGATGTCCTGAGACTCCACCATCTTGGCTAGAGTCTTCTTGATGCGCAGCACCGTCAGGCGTGAGGCGGGGTTAGGGGCCCAGCATTCCGACATCAGCTTCAGCATGGCCCTCAGACACTGTTGGGGGGGGGGAGAGGACGTGGGCACTGTTAAAGTGGATAAAAACATGCAAGAAGCACCCAGCAGCGGGGGCCGCCGGCAGAGCTGAGAGGACAACCAGCCCAACGGTGATTTATAACATCAATAAAAACCCTGAATGCCGAAATCCCCAGAACGACATGAGACCCGGCTCAGCATGAGCTCCTGAGGGCACATCAGCCGTCGTACTCGCCTTAACGTTTATCGCCTTAACGTTTTAACGTTTATCGCCTTAACGTTTTAACGTTTATCGCCTTAACGTTTTAACGTTTATCGCCTTAACGTTTTAACGTTTAAAGGGAACATTCTTCTGCGAAACCCGCAGGTTAAAACGCTGGAAATAAGACAGAAACACCCCCAAAGCCTGCAGGATTCGCTTCTAAGAGCGACTTAATACTAGCAACAGAAAACTCCATTAACTAATTAACCTAATGAATTTCATCTTTCTTAAAGAATGACATAACTTTCTATTCCCAAAAAGAAACCTTTAGTTCACACCATTAAATCCACCCGCTGGCTCTACCCCAGTCACTACAGCCCAGCTTCCTCCCATCGTACTGGAGACTTGCCCACCTCCCAGAGACCCAGCATGGATGGACTGCTTCGGACTGGCCCCGCCAAGCAGACAGGCCCTGTAACCCCAAACCCCCCACTGCCCGAACTCTGCCCACTTACCTCATCGCTGTTCCAACGGTTGGAAACGGCGGGTCGCAGGCCCTTAACACACACCACCTCCCGCATGTCCTCGTAGGAGGGGTCCGAGGGCACCATGCCGGCGTAGGGCAGCTGGTACTCCTCCACAATGCCTGGGGGGGTGGGGGTTAATGAGGAGGGCCGATTAATCCAGAACCGCAGACGATAAACGTCCATCTGTTAGGCGATTCCGGATAATATGGAGTCTGCCTGATAACTAAATAACGAGCAGATGAAGACAAGGAGTACATCATGGTAATGGGGAGTAATGCGGAATGGACGGAAGAACCGAATGAACGGATGGAAGCGATAGGAGGAGAGGATGGACACGACGCAGAGGCAGTAATGAAGGAAATCAGGGCGCCATGACAGGAAGTATACAGGATGGCATGGGCATGACGGACTGTCTCACAATGTGCATCACAACACGGCAAGGGAGCAGAGGGGAGGAATATGACAATAAAACAATACAAGCGCTAAACTGTTTCCAATCACGATGAAAAAATGAATGGGAGATGAGACGTAAAGGCAGGCCGACCTCCGGTGACACATCGGCGCGCCATCTCCCACACGATCAGGCCGTAGCTGTAGATGTCGGCCATGAGGTACGCCTGGAACTGGTTCTTGTTCATGCTCTCGTCCAGAACCTCAGGGGCCATGTAGCGCTTGGTGCCAGTCCGTGTGCTCAGGGGCACATCCACCTCGTTGCTGTCGCTGGGGGGGGACAGAACCGGAAGTTCAGACTTTGACTCAACGTCTCTGACGTCATCTTTTTAAAGTCTGTGTTTTTTTTGTGTTTTTGCGGTTCAGTTCGTGCCCACAGGAAGTCGGCTTTTTCTGTGTATTTTTCTCCTCAGAGGAAGGTGCGTTTACACACATCCCAATGTCTACTTTTACCTTCAATCATACTCACTGCTTGAGGTGGCAATGCCTGCCTGTACTGCCCTTATCATCCAGACGAGAGATACCGGTACGCGAGGAGCGTGCCCACACCACGTAGTGGTGAGTAGCGGGTCGCCCTCAAGCCGTCACCATAACGACGAGACTCCCGACAAACAAAAAACTTCTGATAAATATGTAAGTGCTGCTGGATTGACTATGTTGATTTTTAACGCCATTTCCAGCAACTAGGGCTGTATTCATGGTGAGAGTAAATGTAGCTTGTTTGCTCTCAATTCACAGAGGAGCGATTGACGATTCCCCATCGGTAGCTGCTAAACTTGACCTGCAGCCCGGGTCGTACCTATTGAACTTGACGGCCAACCCCAGGTCGGCGATGCAGCACGTGCCGTTCTTCTTCACCAGTATGTTTTTGCTCTTGAGGTCGCGGTGGGCGATAGCCGGCTTGCCCTGCGTGCCGTAGATCTCGGTGTGCAGGTGGCACAAGCCGCAGGCCGCAGAGTAGGCGAGCCGCAGCAATCCCGCCGCGTCCAGCGTGCTGAACTTCAGGTAGTCGTGTAGGGAGCCATTCTCGTGGTAGTCCGTGATGAGGAAGAGCTGCGTGAAGGAGCCCGTGCCCTTGATGTCAGCCGCGATGAACCCTGGGAACGTTAGACTGGGTGAGGTTTCATTCAGAGGTATGTTCTGGAGACAATATCTTGTGAAACAGGAACAGAGAAAACAGGGTAAACTGCAATCTCTCACACTAAAGAGTGCTGCAAATGTCCTGCATGGACCTCACAGTAGATATCTTCTCCAGCTTTGTTATCTAATTAACCTGTCATTCATAGAGACAGTAAATCCAAACTAAAGACTGCGTTATGCGATTAGAGAAGTAACAGACCACGGGCCACATACCCAATATGTTTTCGTGCCTCATAAGGACTGTCTGGTAGATCTCCGTCTCCCGGAACCAGCTGGCCTCCTCACGTGTGAAGAACACCTTGACGGCTACCTTCTCGCCACGCCAGCTACCCAGCCACACCTCCCCGTAGCGGCCCTTGCCAATGGGCCGAACCATCTGGATCTGCTTGGCGATGGTGCGCTGTACCTGGAGGTGTATCAGCACGCCAGTCACGTGATCGGCGCTCCACATTTGTCTTGCGAAATCACAGCCTTAAGGCTGATCAGCAAACAGATAGGAGACCCTTTCAACTTTCCCGGTTAGGTAAGATGGTGCCAAAGTAACATCAGTTGAAGGACAAATACCTTTTACTGAATACTACCTTAGGATAGTTATTTCAACACCGTGGGCAATGCTAAAGAGTTTTCACAACATTCATGCAGTATTCTAACAGTTCAAACTGACTTTCTCTTGTGTTAGCTAGCTTGTGTTGGCTTCATCATTCACATTCCACTCTTAACCTTCATGCCAGAACCCAGAGCAACAAGCACTGCCAACAGGGCAAAATCTGAACTGTTTCCAAAGATAAATCCCAAACATGGCAAGCTCTGACGGGTGAAAGGCTCGGAGCATTACCGGTTAGCACTGGTGCTAGAAGCATCACGTGTTTTGGACAGGACTATGGGAGAGATTCGCTAAAGGAGCAGACCACTCGATTCTGCCATCAGCCACTACCAAACGTCATTCACCAGGTCGGCGGTTGGAGGGGGACCTGCCTCCACATTCAGCTCCCTTTCCCATGCTTACCAGTAGGGGCAGACCAGAGCCGCTGGCCGAGGTGGACAGGTTGATGAGGTCTTTGAGTGACTCGCCGACAGGGATGATGGCCTCTTCCTGCTCCAGGTCCCTGCGGTAGCGTTGTCTCTCCGTCTGCCATTTGTACCTGCCAGAAACGCAGCCGACGGCCGGCCAATCATGACAGAGGGTCTGATAGCTATACAGCTGCTGCTAACTAAGCTCGTTAAGATGCGAGCGGGCTTGTCTGATGTAGAACTTCGACACTATCTATCACGCAGTCTATAACATCAACCTTAACTATCCCTAAAGTGACAAAGCTGCTCTCACAATAGATATCAAACACCAAATTGAGTTATCCACCTTGACCATGATTGGCTGCCCAGTAGATAAAGTCTCCATTATGCATCGTTCACTTAGACAAACAGCACCCCCACCTTCACTGTCAGCTGACTGTTGGCGCATTGACGTTACCACCAGTCAACGACATCTGACATCAACCGCTATCAGCCGGCAAGTCAAACACATAAACTGTAAAAGAGCTCTTTCCTGGTACTGGTCAGCTAAGGCGAACAGCAGATCTGCCTTCACTATCATCTCTCAAACAACTTGTCAAACACAAGACGGTCATTAACTGTCACGCTCAGTCAAAAAACCCTTTCAAACATTTACCAGAGGAGTGACAAGGGCACAAGGCGGCAAGATGCAACCACAGTAGCTGAAATGTGAGCAGAAGCTCCGTCCTAAACACCGGTGACTGGCTGACCTGTAATAGCAAACGATGGTGATGATGATGAGGAGGCAGCAGCAGGCGGTCACCGACACGAGGAAGGCCACCCAGTGGGCACCGCTGAGCAGGTCTGCGGGACAAAGAAATGGGGGGTAATGATCTACCCAGAAACCAAAGTACCAGCTCATCTGAGCAAAATTCACACCCCAGGACCTGGTCTACGGTTCGAATGGTCCAAAGCAGCTGTACACCACCCATAATGAGCAGTGGAAGCCACTCTGACAGAGTATCAATGATTCATGGCAAACTGAGGAACAGATGTTGGGAGGCACCATGTTTACATGGGCTGAAGACAACGGTCAGGTGACCAGATCAGAAAAAAATGGAGGATTTGTAAAGGACGTGGATGTGGCTCGTCATAAACAAGCTGGTGGGGAAAATTCTTTAAAGAGTGACTGTGCGGGCGTTAGTCTCCAGAAACACACTGCGAATTGGAATTCATTGTTGAAGAACCATTTTCCATGACCAGGGCAGTTGTTTGGTGTTGAGAGAGAGAGAGGAAGGGTCATCCTGCACCCACCTGGCAGGACACGAGGCGGGAGAGTCGGCCGAAGGTCGCGGTTACAAAGGTCAGTCTGGCAGCACTCGATCGTCCGCCTCGTCTGGGCGTTGGGGGAATCCTGGGAAATGTAGGCATTTCAGACACACAAGTATAGGCGCCATTTAGTGAAGGGGCTGTTTATAGGGCATCAGTTCTGTAAAGGCCTCCAGGACCATGGGTTACCTTGCACTGGAAATGCGAGCCCTCGTACTTCATGCACCCTGAGGTAAGGGTCTGTTCGCCATGTTCATCCTCCTCAATTATGGCGAAACACTGGCCATTGGTCCTGCACGACCGGGGATAGGCACACAGATTAGCTTGTTACAGGTCAGTAAGATCATTAAAAACATGGAGCATTTGAACTACGTGCATTTCGAGTTCAAGGCAAGATGATGGATGAGCTGAAGGATTGAATTTTAACACAAATGGGGCCCTGGGTGTGGGACCAGCAGGGGGCGCTCACCTGCAGGTGTTGTTGGTGGCATCTTCAGGGCAGTGGCCTGAACAGTAGCAGGTCAGGAAGCGTGCCGCGTCTTCAGGGGCCACAGTGGCGCCGTCCCCAGAGCGGGACTGCCGCGGATCGGGGCCCGGCCGTGCCCCCGTGCCTTGGAGCACATGGTCAGGGTTCTGCCCCCCTGTGTTGGAAGAGGAGGGAGCGCATCAGACCAATCGACAGAGGATATCAGCCCATGCCCAGATCTGCACTGCAGCCAGGGAAAAGGAACCGAATCGATGGATCGAGCGAGAACCTTACGAGTCCTATTTCCATGGCTGGTGCACTTTCCTTAAATGACAACCACAGGACATTTGGGAAACGGATAACGCAATAATAGCTCGGTGCTCGTATTTACAGAGCCTGCTGTTACTCTGATAGCCGTCTCAACAAAGACACCCAGATCCCCCAAGGCAGCTTCAGCAGGAGCGCCGAGGAGGACGCGGCGTCCGGTCGCCCATCGCGGACACTGGCCACCACCACCCTCATCCACCTCCTCTGCTTAAGCATCATGCGATAATCGCCTCACCTCTGAAGCTCTCTGACAGGGCTTTGAAATAAACCGGCACACAGAGCCAGCTGGTACATCGAGATTGAAGGCTAAAATGGAGAACTAAACACTGCTACTCACGCCTTAGCAGGGAAGGATTCCCAAAGATATCTGCCACCCCCAACCAACAATAACAAACCCAGGCTTTCTTTGTTCATCATCTCTGCAATTTTGCCCTGATGGTTGGGATTCTTTTGACAGAATACAATCACACCACATCCTGTGTAGTCAGATAAGGGCTTTAATATGACGACACCCCCACCCCCCACCAAAACCCGCCCCAAACCAGCACTGCAAACAAACCTCTCTGAAGGCAATCTGGCTTATCGGTTACCGTAACGACACCACGGACCTTACAATAAACAGAGATAATGCTAATTGCCGAACAGCAGCGTTAACACAATGCTCACAAACAAATAGCGTCCACGGTTAATCCCGGCACGCAGTAGACGGCAGTGAGTATGAACACCACAGCCGCTCTTTGCACCCTTACACTAAGCACTTCTATATTTATTGACATTTCGGGGCAGATCTATTTCCGTCCGTGAGCGGCTAGGCTCAGACACGCCAGACCTCATTCCAGCCTTTACCACGTGTTAAGGAGGCGGAATACTTCAAAGGCCGTCCGGACAAAATGAAATTGAACACGCCGGCGAGAACAATCGGTCGCATGCTTACACTTGCTGGTCCCATCTCACGCCACAACCCTAGAGGGCGCAGAATGTGTTTGATGCGGCAGACCCACATACGGAAGGCAAATAAACGCACTGTGAGGAGCATGCGAGTCATTTTAATGAAGGAGACGACAGGTCTTTTAAGATGGAAGTTTCTCTCGTTGGTTGCAGCCGCTATTGGTCCAACACTAGTAGTGTCACAGACAGGGATCACGCTAGCAGAACACACGCATTCTACAGCAAACATTACACACTTACGGCATTTACTGTTAACGCATGAGCATGCAATTTACATTATTTAAAGTGTGCCAGTGACTGCAACGAACTGACGAATTGTGCGGCATCACATTTATGTCACCGAATGGGGGACAGTGGGTGGGATCGGAACAAATGAAAGTTCACCTCAAGGACCATGGTAATTATGGTTCATACCATGTATTGCTATAACTACGTGGATTCCATCTGGAGGAAACACCGTCAAACTGATAACTGAAAGGAACGAGAAACGGGCTTTAAATCTGTCAGATGCTGCGCAGGTGGAGGTCCCCTTTACGAAGTCCAGGCTCAGAGTACAGAGAGAGAAAGCCGGACTGATGACCCTGAAGACGCGCGACCCGGCGGGCAGAGCCTGGGGGCGGCAATGCGACAGGGTGGAGGATCGGGGCCCGAATGAGCACCGACAGCCCTAATGGACTGGTTAGCCCAGCCTGAACCTCCCGGCCTGCGCCGCATAGCTCACAAGGTCCATTTCTGCCCAGAGTGTGTGTGTGTGTGTGTGTGTGTGTAAAAGCGAGACAGGCTGATCTAAAAGGTCTGACTTGCTAATGTCTGGTGACCGGGCTGCACTGATGCGTCGTCACGACGAGGTACAAACAGAAACTAGCAGGCCCACAAAATACGGGTCTCAGAAACTCGCAGAGCGGCCAAAACTTTCCATGCAGACTACTATCGAATAAACAAAACGCATATGCAAATGAGATTTGAAGTCACTACGAAAACAGCACTTATTCAGGCGAGCGGGGGGTGGGGGAGTCATTGTTCCGTAACCTGCGGCAACACCCTAAGAAAACAAAAGCAGATACATCCAGGTCTGTTCATTCATCCAACAACGGTGCCATGCTCGAAGGCGGGTTTGTTTGCTCTGAAATACCGACCCACAGCTACGTGCAGTCAATGCCTGACCTCCCCCGCTGCCCTGAGAAGAAATCCGATTGTACAGATATACTTTAAAAAAACCAGAGAGCCTTAAGGGTCCATTAAACTGCTTCTGGCATGGACGACGTTCATGGGGGCACATCAGGCTCAGAGTCCAACTCAGCCTTGCTTACCGTTGAAATGTTTCAGTTTTATTAATTACTAAGCCAAAGTACTTCAGATCCGGATTCTTCCTGCCTCAATCTGCCGGCCGGGGCTACAAAGGTGAAGAATCTGCTGCCTTAAATCTGTTCCCAGAGGAAGCCAACAGCTTCACTTCACTGCAGCCCATCCGGTTTAAGACGATGTTTGAGTTTCCATAAAGTCCTTCACCGCAATAAGCTGGAAGTGTTTAAATCTTACATGCTTGGGCAATTAAGGCGGTGCCTTAGACGAGGGAGAGCGCAGCCAAAACCGAGGAAGTTACAATATCTAACAACCAATTTCATACATTATAGTCCCATGCAAAGACACTCTTGGTGATAGCATGTTAATCACACATTACTGATAATGATCCACATTCAACGCCGCAGACACCAGCCTAAATTCAATGCAAGGAAAGAGGAACTGGTCTCAGAATAAGTCTGAGTCCTAGGTGGGACAATCCCATAGCCTTGAGTAAAAACACCGTAACCTACAGGAACAGCCTCCCTCTGCACTGTGGAAAAACAAAATTGATATTCTATTTCAAAAAAAGAAGCCAGCTCTGAAGAGACGAGCGGTCTGGTGTTTAGAGGGTGGCCATGTTTTGCTCTGCCTCTCGGACCCCCATCCAAAATGGGGGAGGGAGTGCAGCGTGCTCCTCACCAAGGCTCTGCTCCCACATGTGCATTTAATTCACGCTGCCGTCACCACGGAGTCTGAGGTCTGGCAGGCGCGCGCACACACAGACACACACACACACGCGGGCCATTCTGACCACTGCCTCCCAAAACACACAGCCAGTCGCTCAGATCCCATTTAACGGAGCAGGCAGGGGGAGAGGAGGCGCCGTCCACTGTGACAAGCAAGAGGGGCAGAAATGGCAATAAAGTGGAGAGCTGAAAACGGCCCACCCGCGTGCCTTGCCCACGATTCTAGAATGTTCCATTTGGTTGGTTGGTTGGTTGGTTGGGTCTGTCTGTCTCTGTCTGTCTGTCTGTCTGTGCGCGTGTGTCTGCGCGC